GCTGTTTGTTTTATTGCATACTGTGGTCAGTCCATAACTTACTAATAAAATAACATGCAATAACTTCCCCTAGGTCCTCAATTATAGGTTAACCTACACACTTTAAATTTCACTGGAGTATCTGTTCTATGCCCCAGAGAACCAGTAATGATTTTATTAGGCACCACCTTTGCTTGGCTTCTTTACTCTTCTAAGCAACATTGTATCATCGCATCATTAAATTATCTATTTGCTGAGTATTACTTATAAAGCATAGAGTGGACAGAGAGCAAATGCTACCCAAATATAGTCAGCTAGAGTGAGAGAGAGAAAGAGAGACTGGGTCACTTTGGATAGCTGAAATGACAACAGAAAGAAGGAACCAGATACTATATGACATCTGCATGAGCCTTCATCAACCACTCATCACGGAATCACTGGGAATGAATTTTCTTTTGTGTGATCCTGACATCTAGATCATATTGCATCTGGCATGCTGCTTCCAAGTGAAAATTATGTCTTTCATCTTCATCTTCCATGCCATTTTGTGTTACTAACATGGGCAAGTGACAAAGCTTAGATCTTAATATTCTTTTCTTTTTCTTGTCACTTGATTATACAGTGCAAGCCCTAGATAGGCAAAGTTCTGGGAAAGATGTAAGAGAGTCCACCAAGTCCCAGGCAGTGGCAGATTCCTCTTTCACAAAGGAGGACAGCAAAATATCTCAAAAGGATATTAAGTCATATCAAGGATCATCATATGAATATGAAGTGCAGGTTTTTGAAAGTGTATCTCAAAGTTCCATCCACACAGCTGCATCCATTCAAGATATACAGTTGCGCCATACTGCATCCCTTTCAGAAATTGCAGAAAGCACTGAACTATCTAAGGAATGTGCTGAAGAGTCCATGGGTGAGGCGCCCAAGATTCTCCTGCATCTTCAGGACATCACTGTAAAGTGTGGTGATACGGCTCAATTCCTGTGTGTTTTAAAAGACGATTCTTTCATTGACGTAACCTGGACTCATGAAGGTGCAAAGATAGAGGAATCCGAGAGACTGAAGCAATCACAAAATGGAAATATTCAGTTTCTTACCATATGTAATGTTCAACTGGTAGACCAAGGACTATACAGCTGCATTGTACACAATGACTGTGGAGAGAGGACAACATCAGCAGTACTAAGTGTAGAAGGTGGTTAATTGATTTTTAGCTATGACTTGCTTCATTTCATCCTCATCGCTTTATGCAGCTTTTCTGTCGTGCAAATTCAATCAATGAATATATTAATTAAAATATATCTAAACTAGCACCATATTCCTAAATAACTTCTGAAAGTCAGCCAAGTCAATGACCATGATTATCCTGAAAATTTAACTTGCCCGTCTAGATTCAGAAAGTTTAATTTTTAAACGTAGATTCGGGAAGCAAAGGCTTATTTCCTATATGCTGCATTTTCTAATATTTACCAATGCGCCACCAAGAAAGTGTAGCAAAGTTAAAATGTTGTAGTCTGAGAAGTATTTATTGGGCATTTATTATTGTGCTGGATACTGTGGTAAATTTCAGTTTAATTGTTTTAAAGTAAGAGGTTCAACAATTCTTATCTCCTCTTCATTTTCACATCTGGAGGTTCTAGTTGTTTACAAAGGGGCCATGAAAATAGAAAATTGGGACCAAGCACAGTGGCTCATGCCTGTAATCCCAGCACTTTGGGAGGCCGAGGCAGCCAGATCACTTGAGGTCAGGAGTTCGAGACCAGTCAGGCTAATATGGTGAAACCCCATCTCTACTAAAAATACAAAAATTAGCCAGGCATGTTGGTGCATTCCTGTAATCCCAACTACTCAGGAGGCTGAGGCAGGAGAATTGCTTGAACCCAGGAGGCAGTGGTTGCAATGAGCCTAAATAGGGTCACTGCACTCCAGCCTGGGCAACAGAGCTAGACTCCATCTCCAAAAAAGAAAAATAGAAAATTGGGCACTGAAAATAACAAGGCTCTCTCTGGACCAAAATTAGAAGTCTCTAGATATTACTCCATAAATGATGCTGCTTTTACAGGCTTAAAATCCTCCTGGAATTGTAGAATTTTCTCATGGCAAGATCACAATTTTTATCATTATTGGGCTTGATTCTCCATCATGTCTGGAAGAGCAGGAATAAACTCGTCTGGGCAAGTGATAAATTCTTCCTCTTATCCATGGTCTTTCCTTCTGGATATTAATGAAATGAGAAAAATATTTTTCAGGTGCTCTAAGCTTGTGTTGTGTGCCTGTAGGCAAAACAGCTCCACTGAGTCTCATGGAAGGAAAATGGTGGGAGAAGTTCAGGCATCTCCAGGGGTCTGTGGAAAGCTCTGACCTCAAGTTCCTCCCTGATCCTGGCCATAGTGGTGTTAAGGATGAAAAGGGGGCAGTGCTATGGAGGTGCACAGCCATCTCTGCACAGAATTTTGAAACAGTGGCCTTTCTTCCTACCCAGTACAGAGAATATGGTTCATTGATTCATATAATTTTTCTGCAACACCTGCTCACCAAAAGGAGGTCTTATTCTTTCTTAATGAGATTTTGTTCTATAGCTCTATCTCATTCTGTCACCACAGCCTACAAAGGCAATATCTCAAGAACTGAGGTTTAGTTATGTAAATTAGATAGAAAATTCCACCAGCCAGAAAGTTGACCCCCAATTTCACTGCAGCTGCTGGCTAGCACAGTAATCACACAGAGTGACTATTTATTTGAAGGTGTTGTCTGCAAGTCCTGTAGGTGACAGTGTGACAATTTTTTCAGAAATGTAGTTGGGAGTTGGCTGTCTTGTGAAGGTGGGAGAAATGTAGATTAGATTTTTTTTAACTCAGTTCCTAAAGAATCTAGTGCTATAGTGCGGTGTTTGACTGTCATATTCCCAGAATTGATTTGAGCTTGGCTCTTTTGCCCTAGGATCTCCAGTTCATTGAGTTCCAATGGATACTATTATTAAAGTGTTCTTGAAGCAAAATAATTTTTTTGAACATCCAACTGCCTTACTTGTACCTAAGAAAGTTGAAAGATAAGATATTTTTAGGTGTTTGAAGGGTGAAAGATTAGGCACAGTTGTCTAATTATTTGACACAGGCCAGTCTTTATATGTTCCTTTTTTATTTTGGCCTAATAAGTTCATATAGGCTACAGAGTTATCCACCAAGATCAAGCAGGAATGTCAAACCCCTGGAAGTCTGTTTGAATACAGTTCTTATGTGCATAATAAACATAGACATATCGTATATTAGTTTGATGACTAACATGCTGCCTTTCCTTCTCATCCTAATGACATTCCATCTTCTCCACATTCAGCATGTTTTTTAATCTTACAAACACAGCTAATTTATGCCTTTCCCTAACTTTATTCTTACCCAGCAAAAGAATCGCAAGCCAGAGCACTTACAAAAGTTACTCTGGGTTCAGACACTAAAAGTATTAAAACACTCAAAGAGTCACAAATTAAAACAACCCCTGAAGTAAAAAGAGAATCGTCAAAGAAAACATCAAGTTTGTCATTAACTTCATGCCAAAAACCATAAGAAACTGAGAACAAGGGAATCAAGTCTACTGACAGGATACCACGTGGACTGAAGACTGAGAGTGATACGAGAGTCCCATCTCAGCTGCCCCAGAGATGATTGTGTCTAAAAACTGTGCATATTCCTTGTGTAATAAAAACAGTTTTGATAAGTCTTTGTTTTGTTCCTTAATATGTAATTGGACTTTGTATAGTTTAAAGTTTGAAAGGTGGTTCAAATCAAAGGAGTATTTACTAGCAGGAAAAACTGAGAATAGCCCTCTGCTAAAGTAGCAGTTTAGAAAATGCATGTTCTTTCTAAATGTGATTTCATCTCTTAGCAAGTGTTTAGTCAATAGGACATTTTTTTAGAAAATAATATTCCTTCAGTTTGTAGATTGCTTTCTGAATGCATGTAAAGGCATGGGGAATTATAGAACTAAAAGTGGAAATTTCATGAAGAACCTAAAATAAAAATGTTTTAAATCTTTCTGTCGACATTGCCATGTGTTTTATCAGCTCAATAGTTAGTTTGGCATGGACTTTTTGGTATATTTGGGGAATGCAGTTTTCTGTTATTATAATAAAAAGAAAATTTTAATCATATAAGTCATGAATTGATGCAGAAAGTGTATGCAATTAATAACTAAAATCTCTTTATATGTTTTTCTATTTTAGCCCCTGAATCAATTTTGCATGAGAGGATTGAACAAGAGATTGAGATGGAAATGAAAGGTATTGTTATAATGGATGTGAGATTTAAGTAGAAATTCTAAGGGATTAATAGGATCCTTGAGTTGCCTTCTTTTTCTTAGTATTATTGAGAAAAAAAATGACATAGATGTACAAATATATCTCTTAGAGTATATATTACTATGTCGCATGCTTGGTTTAGAATGTTGATGGTTACATGCATTTCACAGTAATTTATCATAAGTTAATTTAAAATTTTGTATTTAAAATTTATCAGCCATATTCAACTTTATGTTTGCAGTCATTTCCAAAAGTGTGTATTAGGAAAAGTTGTCATCTTAATGCATGAAATCATGAAGTAAAAGTTTGTTTTCAAAATCACAGTGAATTACATTGAACGATAGACAATAACCTAGCTGTCATTCTCAGAATGCAATGTCATGAATGAATTTTGATTGAAATGCTACTTTACTGAGGTTGTGTGAAAACATTACATTCCCATCTGGTTTACACTTCATGCACATACATCATTTTAACATTGATATGTCTCTTACACTGGCTTGCAGATAGCTGCCTTATGTGATCCTTATTGCCTGCTTTTCTTTGCATAACATTGTGATTTTATGGCTGTATTAGTTCGAATAAACGCCTTCTCATTTTATTTTAGCTAATTATTTATGGTTATAGTTCTTGCATATACTCTTTAAATAGTTAATTCTCAAAAATATAATAATTTAATCTACAATCAAAAGAATCAGAAAGGGCGTTTATTCCACTCTCTGCAAGTCAGGTAAGATTTTCCACTTAGCCATCAAAAGAACAAAGTTTTCCTGCTCTCAAAACAAATATGCACAGGAACATGTTATTTTGAAATGCATTTTTGCTTGTTCAAGAAGAAATTTCAACAGTTTGAAGAAAAGACCAGACAACGAACGATTTTCGTGTCAGAATCTTTTAAACAGAGCATGGTGTTGCGTTTATTCGAACAAATATGGTGAGTGAATTTTTCTATGGATTTGTGAGATCTGTAGCATGCAATTTATTTCATTTCCTATTTTGCAATTTTATTTACTTTCAACTTTTTCAAATTCTATGGAAAATAGTAAAAGGTTTTTTTTTTTTTTCCAGAATCATTATCCGAGGGGGAATCTGAATATTCAGAAAGGGATACTCGTGATGCCTTTTCAGATTCTGAAGACATAGACCACAGCTCCATGGCTGCTAAAAGATATGCAAGTAGAATATCATCTACAAGCTCCTGGCCTGAATATTTTAAGCCTTCTTTTACCCAAAAACTTATGTTTAAATATGTTTTAGAGGGTGAACCAGTTGTTTTTACATGTAGATTAATTGCCTGTCCAACTCCAGAAATGACTTGGTTTCATAACAGTCGGCCCATTCCAACAGGTCTTCGTCGGATTATAAAAGCTGAAAGTGATTTACACCATCACTCTTCCAGCTTAGAGATTAAAAGGGTCCAAGACAGAGATTCTGGAAGTTATAGATTACTAGCAATTAATAGTGAAGGGTCTGCTGAATCAACTGCATCATTGCTTGTTATCCAAAAAGGGCAAGATGAGAAATATTTAGAATTTCTGAAAAGAGCAGAACAGGCACATGAAAATGTGGAGGCTTTAGCTGAAAGGGGAGAAGACAGGCTAAAGGTTGACCTGAGGTTTACTGGCTCTCCCTTTAACAAAAAACAAGATGTGGAACAAAAGGGAATGGTGAGAACTATACATTTTAAGACAATGAGTTCTGCCAAGAAAACAGATTACATGTATGATGAAGAATATTTAGAAAGTAAATCTGACATAAGAGGATGGCTTAATGTAGGTGAAAGTTTTCTGGACAGGGAGACCCAAGTGAAGTTGCAACGTTTAAGGGAGGCTAGGAAAATGTTAATAGAGAAAAAGAAATTATCTCTTTTAGATACGTCTTCTGAAATAAGCTCAAGAACTTTGAGAAGTAAAGCTAGTGATAAAGATATTCTGTTCTCTAGAGAGGACATGAAAATCAGATCTATGTCTGATCTAGCTGAAAGTTATAAGGTAAATAATTCAGCTGAGAGTATTGTGCAAAATCCACACGGTCTTTCTAATCAAATGGATCAAAATATAGAATCTGAGGAACTTCCCACAAGCTTTCAAACTATTGTTGATGAAGAAATTTTCCAGACTGAAATAAGAATGAGCCAAGAGTCATTGGTAAAAGAAAGTCTACCAAAAGACCATTTATATGGTGAAATTCTAGGAAATGAAAATACCCAAGCAAGAGGACAGCTGGAAGAAATTATGGCCAGTACTACAGTTGGAGAGTCACCCACATATATCACTAATGTATGTGAGAAGGAGGAAGTGTGTGAGACTCCTGAAAAGGTGTCTCAAGCTATTACACCACATGCCAGCGAATCTTTTGGTACACTTGTAAATGTTGAAGAAAGTGAAGAAATAGCTAGTGAAAGAATAAGAATGGATGATGTAAGAGAATTACAACTCCCTGCTTCTACACAAATCTATGCATTCAAAACCGAACACAAGGAAGAAAACATGAGATTTTTTGAAAATTCTTTTCGAAAACGCCCACAACGTTGCCCACCTTCATTTCTTCAAGAAATTGAATCTCAAGAAATTTATGAAGGTGACAGTTGTAATTTCGTGTGCCATTTTCAAGGATATCCTCAACCTATCGTGACGTGGTATAACAATGACATGCCAATCCCACGTAATCAAAACTTTATCATTCATTCTTTGGAAAACTATTCAATATTAACTCTTCTGTCTGTTCATCATCAGAATGAAGGTTCTATTACTTGTGTGCTATTTAACCAATATGGAACAGTAAAAACAACCGGTATGCTTAAAGTGAAAGCAAAACAAAAACCTGATGTCAAAACACATAAAATCCCAGTGTTCCATGACTACTTTGATGAGGAAGAAGAGCTAGCATTGGTATTTGATCAAGCAAAAGGCGCCCACCCATCTATGAGTCAAGAGGGCCAAACAAATCTTCATGTGTTAAAAACTAACCCACCAGCTCCTCCCTCTGGAGATACAGAATTGCTTTCCTTTCCTGTAGAAATCCAGGTAACAGCAGCTACTCCTATCCCAGAAGAGGATAAAGAGATGTTTCAAACTGAGGAGCTAAAACCTGAAGCAATGCCTCAAGATCAAGCTACTCAGTCACCAAAACACAAATTTGTATTTTTGTCTGATGTTACTAATGAGCCACCAAAAATGTTACAAGAAATGCCAAAGCATGCCAGGTGTAGAGAAGGGGATTCCATCATTCTTGAATGTTTAATATCTGGTGAGCCCCAGCCAGTTGTAACATGGTTTCAAAATGGAGTCCTTTTAAAGCAGAACCAGAAGTTTCAGTTTGAAGAAGTTAATTGTAGCCACCGATTATATATTAAAGACGTTAATTCTCAAGATTCTGGAAAATATAAATGTGTTGCTGAAAACAATTCAGGGACAGCTGAAAGTGTTTCAGATCTAACAGTGGAGCCTGTCACTTATAGGGAGAATAGTAAATTCGAAAATATTGGTGAAATTTATGGAAAATATTCCAGAGATCAGCAAGTGCAAGTCCAGGGAGAATCTGTAAGGGCACATTTTTATGATTATCCTGCTGGTCCTTTTACTCCCTGGACAAATGTAAAAGAATATTCAGTAAGGGACTATTTTCAAAGCCTTGAGACCATTAAGCAGATAGACCAGAAAGACCAGGTGCGTTGCGTACCTTCTAGAGAAAAAATTCCCATATTTGTGCGTGGTGCTTCAAGAACCATAAAAACCAACAAGCCCATCAGGGCTGAATTCATACAATGTCAGGCTGAAGGGAAAAAGAGACATGTAAGTGAAAAATCAAAGCTGTACCAAGCAGAGGGTACTGTTTATCCATTTGTTGATGATTTCAGTGATATCACTATTAAGAAAGATGTAGGAAACAATTTTGGAAAACTTGGTAGATCAGAAAAGGAAAATGTACAAGAATATGCCCAAAGTGACTATTTACCAAATATTCACTCTGAGAGAATTTCTGACAGTTACAATATAAAAGATTCATCTGCCGTTGCCTATGAAGAATCCCTTGGTGAAGAGATACACTACCCGGGGAAAAAAGTGAAGCACAGAATTATCGAATTTGAAAAATTACATGTAGAAAAAAGAGTTCTAGAAAAAAGACCTACCAGAACATCATTCGTTAATCCTCCTCAAAAGAAGATTGATGACAAAGCCTTTTCATTAAAGCAAAGAGAATCAAGATCAAGTAATCTAAATGCAAATATGTGTCAGACAGAGAAAATGTCTCCAAATACTGAATCAAATTCATCTAACATTGCAATAAATTTAAGGCTGCTTTCCTCTCAAACTCATAAGGAATCTGAAACACAAGAAAGGGAACAACAGGAAAAAATAAGTCTTATAGATAAACCTGCAATTTCTAAAAGAGTTGAACATGAATCACCTATTACATTTGACTTAAAGCAGTTTCATACTCAAATAAAACACACAGATGTGAAATTCCAAGAATTAGATAGTAGTCAACCAGAAGAAGCTTATTTTAAAATCCAACATCCTGCTTCCGAAACAGCTGACACTGAGAACATTGTGTTTGATCTAAAACAAATGCATTCTCATGTAGGAGATCCAGCTATGGAGTTCCAAGGGCAAGAAACTAGGGAACAGCAGGAAATACATTATAAAGAAAAAATTCCTAGCCCTGAAACATTACAACCTGATACACAGAGTATCTCCAAAAATGTGCAAAATAATGTATTTGCCAGTCAAGAAATTTCTTCCAGTCAGGAGCTTTCATATAGAACTATGGTGGAGAAAAGTAGTATTGATGAAAATTCCATTTCTTTAGAAAAAGAAGTCCGACATGTACAGGAACAAAACTTAGACATTTTAAAAACTGATCTTTCTCTTAAATCCTTTTCTGAAGAAATCTATAGTGAATCATGTGCCCTATTTCCAACCTCATCTGCAGATATAGAAGAAACTGATCTTTCTGAGAAAAATTGTTCTCTAGAAAATGGAGACAAAAGTTTCATCTCACATTTGAAAAAAGCAGTAAGTGAGGAAAAGCCTTTAGAAGTTGGTGAAATGGAAGAAGAATGCACTCTAGAACCAGAGTTGGCATCATTTCCAAAGCAGGATGGTGGGGCACAGGAATATACAGATGCCACTTTGGAAGACCACAGAGGTGATATTCAGGAGGCTGACATACTCCATAGACAGCTCTCCCTGAGTCAGTGCTTCCCATTCTTGATGACTGAAGAAAAACAGAATCCAGGTGAACAAATAATTACAAACATTGATGCCTCTGGAGAAGAAAAATGTTATGAAGAAGTCCAAAATGAAACTTTCTCCACTTTAGGAGAAATGATAGAAACTAGTTCTTCTCAAAATATTCCTAAATTAGATGAGGCACATACCACTGAGGTAGCGGAATCTGAGACCTCCCTAACACAATATTTACTTGCTGCTGGAAAGCGTGAGGTTCCTGAAACTAAAGACACCAGAGATCAGACAAAGCTTGTCCAGAGTGAATCAATCACTTCAATGGAGGTAGAAGAAGTAACTTTCAACACTGTGTACGAATACTACAACCAGAAACAGGAATCACTAGGTCGTCCATTTTCTCCTGAGTCTGACATTTCCATTGGTGTGGGAAGTACAACTAGTGAAGAAATATCTGAGTTAGATCAGTTTTATACCCCACCATCATCTGTTGAATATTTTGAATCTCCAAAGTCCCCTGACTTATATTTTAATCCTTCAGATGTAACTAAACAATCCTCAATATATTCAGGAGGTGAAACAGTTGAAAGATATTCCACACCTTTAGGGGAAGTTACTGAAAGATATTCAACACCTTCCGAAGGTGAGATAGGAGAAAGATACTCCACACCCCCAGGAGAGACTCTAGAGAGATACTCCACACCCCCAGGAGAGACTCTGAGAGATACTCCCCACACCCCCAGGAGAGACTCTGAGATACTCCACACCCCAGGGAAAGACTCTAGAGATACTCCACCCCCAGGAAAGACTCTGAGAATGCTCCACACCCCCAGGAGAGACTCTGAGAGATACTCCACACCCCCAGGAGAGACTCTAGAGAACTCTAGAGAGATACTCCACACCCCCAGGAGAGACTCTAGAGAGATATTCTATTCCTACTGGAGGACCAAACCCCACTGGTACTTTTAAAACATATCCATCAAAAATAGAAAGGGAAGACAGTACACCAAATGAGCATTTCTACACACCTACAGAAGAGAGAGGTTCAGCTGACGAAATATGGCGTTCCGATTCATTTAGCACACCCAATGAAGCCATTGAGCCAAAAGACAATGAAATGCCTCCATCTTTTATTGAACCTCTAACCAAAAGGAAGGTGTATGAAAACACAACACTAGGCTTCATTGTTGAAGTTGAAGGTCTTCCAGTTCCTAGTGTGAAGTGGTATCGAAATAAATCTTTACTAGAGCCAGATGAAAGAATCAAAATGGAAAGGGTGGGTAATGTATGTTCACTGGAAATTTCAAACATTCAAAAAGGAGAAGGGGGAGAGTACATGTGTCATGCTGTAAACATCATAGGGGAAGCAAAGAGCTTTGCAAATGTAGACATAATGTCCCAAGAAGAAAGAGTGGTGGCACTCCCACCTCCAGTAACACATCAGCATGTCATGGAGTTTGATTTGGAAAACACCACATCATCAAGAACACCTTCTCCTCAAGAAATTGTCCTGGAAGTTGAATTAAGTGAAAAAGACGTTAAAGAATTTGAGAAGCAGGTGAAAATAGTGACAGTTCCTGAATTTACTCCTGACCATAAAAGTATGATTGTGAGTCTAGATGTTCTTCCATTTAATTTTGTAGATCCAAATATGGATTCAAGGGAGGGAGAAGACAAAGAACTAAAAATTGATTTAGAAGTATTTGAAATGCCTCCTCGCTTTATAATGCCTATTTGTGATTTTAAAATTCCAGAAAATTCAGATGCTGTGTTCAAATGTTCAGTCATAGGCATCCCTACTCCTGAAGTTAAGTGGTATAAAGAATATATGTGTATTGAGCCAGATAACATTAAATATGCGATTAGCGAGGAGAAGGGAAGTCACACTCTTAAAATTAGAAATGTCTGTCTTTCTGATAGTGCAACATACAGGTGCAGAGCTGTGAATTGTGTAGGAGAGGCTATCTGTCGTGGATTCCTCACCTTGGGAGATTCCGAAATACTTGCTATGATAGCAAAGAAAAGCAAAGTGACTTTAAGCAGTTTGACAGAAGAATTGGTCTTAAAGAGCAACTACACAGACAGTTTTTTTGAATTTCAGGTGGTGGAAGGGCCTCCCAGGTTTATCAAAGGTATTTCTGACTGTTATGCACCAATAGGTACAGCAGCATATTTTCAGTGCTTAGTTCGTGGCTCTCCAAGACCCACGATTTACTGGTACAAAGATGGGAAATTGGTCCAAGGAAGAAGGTTCAGTGTTGAGGAAAGTGGCACAGGGTTCCACAACCTGTTTATAACAAGCTTAGTAAAGAGTGATGAAGGAGAGTACAGGTGTGTAGCTACAAACAAATCAGGAATGGCTGAGACTTTTGCAGCACTCACCTTAACTTAAAATGTAATGTTTTAGTGCCTCAGTAATTATTAGAATTGATCTGAGTGCTTTCATATTTTCCAAATTATATGGATCTAATAAACTTCCAAACAGGTCCACTATATTTGAATTCATTATCTTGGAGACCGCTGGAGAAATAATCTCTGTGTAGAAATCTCATCTTTGTAACACATGTAAATATTTTGTTATCTGAACTGTGGAATCATCACTTGAGTCAATCATGCTGTGTAACATCAAACACAATTAAATCTCTTCTTGGCTACCTAATTATTTGTACTTCTATTTACCCTCATGCCTCCTCCACAAAGTGTTTCAGTGGAATGGACTCTCTTTTAGCAGATAAACCATATATGCAAAAGTACAATGTAAATGTGGAGACCATATCAGATGACCACGCAGACAAATTGGTAAGGGCAAATCTCCTCTCTGCTCCCATTCTAAGTTATTTTTGGAATTGTAACCCCTTTGCATCCAAACCCATGTTTATTTACTTCGACTTAGAATAGGCAAAACAAACAACAAAAACCAGCTTCTCCCAATTGGCAACTAACTCTATAATCTGTTTGCCATTTCAATCTTAATATATTAACTTCATCTCTTTTAAAAATATTTTCATTATTAATATTCGTCTACATAAGTGCTTTAATTCTCACTGGCTTCAAGGGACCAATTGTGCTCTTTGTGCACAGGATTCACCTAGACATTTGCAGAATAAGCAGATAAAGATCTTTCCACTTTTGGAGATACCTTAGTTTTCTCAATTTTTGAGATGACATCAAGTGTAAAATGCAGCAATAATTTAGTATTGGCCTGGGGAAAAAAAGGGAAACTATCACATTGTGTTTACATATAGATTTTTAAATTGTATTCTGATTTCAGAATCTTTAAAATTAAAAAAAAAGGTGGGATATTTTTAGAATTGAGTCAATATGGCAATTTGTATTTCAGATTATATGTAAATAACAAGATATCAAGCTTTCCTATCACTTTCACTGAATTTCATCTTTAAAACGAATATAGCTTAATAAGCATTCAATTTTTATTATGATATTTATGTTTCTAAAGTAACTCTTTAATTTTGTCTTTTAAAATTAAAATAACAGTAAATTAACATACTCCTTAATATCTTACCTATATACTAACATGGACCTAAGTCTTCTCATATAAGACTCGACAAATATAAACAAATTCTGAAAATGAAGGGTAGGAACAAAAGACCTTAGAGGCGATCATTCAACAATAGAGTTCTGTGTCACCCTAATAGTAATTATTCTTAATACAATTTAGAATAAACTTTAATTTGATAACAAAGGACGAGAGAAAGAATACTACAATGAAAGATAAATTTTATCTCCCTCCACCTCTTAAATTACTTATTGTTACTAAATGGCTATATTTGTCACCTGTGTTCAGCAGTACTTAAGTACCATGATCATGTTTAAAATACTAATTTTAATTTAATTTGAAATATAAACACTTTAATTTTCCAAAGAATTCATATCCAATTATGTTTATTATGTTTCCTTCATCTATCAATCTTTATTCTCAACATGGGAATTCTCTAACAGCTATCCAAATTAAAGAAGCAATAGAGACAATGTATAGAAAGTAGGCAGAGCAGTCAGGTTTCCCATGCCTTCCTCACAAAAAAAAATTTGATTTATCTGTTTGAGCCACCATAACTCATCAGCAAAGATATACTATTGTAGAACAATCATTCCTGTTCCAACCAGTGAGCACACAGTATCTGTGATAATAATTATAGACATAATGTAATGTATCACATCACAAATTCCTGAAATAAAACTAATTCTATAGATTAGGAACTTAGGGATTTAGTCTGTGCTTAGTCACGTAATGGATGTTAAAATTAATGAGAAACTCAGATTGAAGCAAACATGACAAGCATGCTTTACTCAATCATCATGCAGCACAGCAACAGTTCAAACCTTGTTTCTTAAAAAAAAAAAAAGAAAGAAAGAAAGAGAGAAATAGAAAAATGTTTTAATATCCTACTGGATTTTAGGAAGAGCTGAAAAACACTTTTATTCATATAAGAAGGAGGGCTTTGTTTGATTTTGTTCATTAGAATTCTGTAATTCTGTTAGTTTCAAGTACAGTGAACTTGAGTATATGCAGAATAACAGTGACCGAATAAAGAAAAGTAAGCCTTGGCTTACTTTAATTGTCATAGATAATGAAATGGAATTTTTTATTTTCTGACTCAATGGCACATAACATAAAACCCTGAAATATTAGTTTCTCTGATTCTGGATAAAGAATTTATTGTATTGCAGATAGTTGAGTTTAGACAATTAATAGCTGCTACCACTACATGTAATGTTTTAAACTATGCCTTTCAAGTTTCAGCACGTTTGAATTTCATTTACTATCCTTTTTATGGCTAATAATACCATGGCTTGAAAGGAAAACATTTGAAAATATTTCAACATACTAGTGAGTAAGGGTATTTTAACTGTATTCACATTCATTACCTTTACAGATATTTTGTGAGTTCAAGTGAAGGGAAAGGTAACATGAATTATATATTGTAGATTAAATGCAAAGTGAAGTGATCATCATTAATATGTAAAATTATCAATGGTTTTATGGTTTACTTAAAATAATAAATACCTGAATATGTATTCTGCATGCTATAGATGAGTTTCTCCAGTATTTTTATAGCCAGCAGACACTTGAGTCCTGTCTTCTAATGCTTGTATGCTAGAACAGAAAGGAATTAAGGTGTAAGTCTATTTCATGTGATGCAAGTGAAGGCACCAAATAAAATCATAAAACTGCCTTTTGCTAAGGCAATAAAACTACTAATAACAGGCCTGTTCTACATCCCTAACAGGTTTAATAAAAAATCAAATTGTTTAAAATTACATGTCTTTCATCCTGTCATCCAGGATACTGTTTAAAGAGTCTCTGTTATGCACTGCTTTGTTTCTTGCTCAGTGGTTCTGTATAGGTTTTCTTATACAATAAAATACAAGGAACTTTTAATATTGGAGTTGTTTTCTCTTATTTTTGATTCTCTTATTTTCTTGGCTAATGCCTTACGTAAAGGCTTTGTTCAAGTAATATGGTGATTTACACAGGTGAAAGAAGGCCTGCATTTCTAGGAACTGAAAACAGTGGTTCTCTTACAAATCCAAATTAAACATTTCCTGTAGCCTCTTATTTTTAATAATGACTTTAGAGGCAGTAATTAGAACATCAATGTTTTATTTTGGAAATAATCAGTCTTTAACAAAGAAGATTATTCTTAAACTCAAGAAAACTCTAAATATAAATAACAATTCTGGATCTTTTTAGAAGTCGATTTAAATAATGCTGGATTATTATAACTAACCAGCAGTTTTTCAAACTTTAAAATTGGAATTATATCTCAAGAAAAACTCATGAGAGCATTTTTAAAACTTATGAACTCTAACACAGATGAAGTGGATCAAAAATTGCATTGTACAGTATGTATAATTTTGTGTAATTTTTTATGTTAAGCTAAGAAAAATTTAGAAATGTGCTTTTTGATAAATTAATCTTGGAATAATCTAATCATTCCAGGAATAAAGCAGAAGAAGGCCATCAACTGGTATCTAATTCTTTGATTTCTATTTTTTATTAAATAAAATTTTGTAGTAAAATAATAATCATTTTTCCCCATACAGAGTTTTCTAGTTCTTTTCTGTCTGCCGAGGAAGAAGAACTTCATAGCTCTGAACTTCATTTATCTAATATAAATGAAACACTTGAACTTTTGTCTGAACCTCCAGTTTACTCAACTAAATTTGATTCCAAAAAGGAAGGCGCTGTCCCAGTTTTCATCAAAGAAGTGTCAAGTGCTGATACAAGCATGGGGGATGTGGCTACACTGTCTGTAACTGTCATTGGCATCCCCAAACCTAAAATTCAGTGGTTCTTTAATGGAGTGCCATTAACCCCTTCTGCTGACTACAAATTTGTTTTTGACGGTGATGATCATAGCCTGATCATTCTGTTCACCACATTGGAGGATGAGGGAGAGTATACATGTATGGCTAGTAATGACTATGGACAGGCAATATGTAGTGCCTATCTAAAAATAAATTCCAAAGGAGAAGGTCACAAAGACACAGAAACAGAATCAGCAGTGGCAAAATCTCTGGAAAAGCTTGGAGGTCCTTGTCCTCCTCACTTCCTTAAGGAGTTAAAAGCAGTTCGCTGTGCTCAAGGACTTCCTGCCATCTTTGAGTACACAGTAGTTGGAGAGCCTGCCCCTACTGTTGCATGGTTCAAAGAAAACAAGCAGCTATGCACCAGTGTTTATTACACTATCATTCATAACCCTGATGGCTCTGGGACTTTCATTGTCAATGACCCTCAGAGGGAAGACAGTGGCCTCTATATCTGTAAAGCAGAGAATATGCTGGGTGAGTCCACCTGTGCAGCAGAACTTCTTGTGCTTCTGGAAGACACAGACATGACTGATACCCCCTGCAAAGCAAAGTCCACACCGGAGGCTCCTGAGGATTTTCCACAGACACCCTTAAAAGGTCTCACAGTTGAAGCAGTTGACTCAGAGCAGGAAATTGCAACGTTTGTAAAAGACACCATTTTGCAAGCTTCTTTAATTACAGAAGAAAACCAGCAACTATCTTATGAGCATATTGCTAAAGCCAATGAATTGAGCAGTCAGCTTCCTTTGGGAGCTCAGGAATTGCAATCCATTTTGAAGCAAGACAAGTCCACTCCTGAAAGCACCAGGGAATTTCTTTGCATCAATGGCAGTACTCACTTTCAGCCTCTCAAGGAACCCTCTCCCAACCTACAGGTGCAGACTGTACAGTCCCAGAAAACCTTCTCCAAAGAAAGCATTCTAATGCTTGAAGAGCCTGAGACACAGGCGGTTCTATCAGAGACTGAGAAAATCTTCCCAAGTGCCATGTTCATAGAACAAATTAATTCATTAACAGTTAAGCCTCTGAAAACTTTATTAACTGAACCTGAAGGGAATTATCCACAGTCTTCAATAGAACCTCCGGTGCATTCTTATCTAACCTCTGTGGCTGAGGAAGTGCTTTTACCAAAAGAAAAGACAGTGTCTGATGCCAACAAAGACCAAAGAGTGACTCTTCAAAAGCAAGAGGCACAAAGTGCACTCATCTTGAGTCAGAGCTTAGCAGAGGGACACGTGGAGAGTCTCCAGAGTCCTGATGTCATGATCTCTCAGGTAAACTATGAGCCCCTAGTCCCTTCAGAACACTCATGCACAGAAGGAGCTGAAATTTTGATAGAAAGTGCAGATCCATTGGAAAATGCAGGGCAAGATTCTGCGGTCAGAATTGAGGAAGGCAAGTCCTTAAGATTTCCACTAGCACTTGAAGAAAAGCAGGTACTGCTCAAAGAAGAGCATTCTGACAACGTGGTGATGCCCCCAGACCAAATCATTGAGTCTAAAAGAGAGCCTGTGGCGATAAAGAAAGTGCAGGAGGTACAGGGAAGGGACATTCTTTCTAAGGAAAGCTTGCTTTCTGGTATTCCAGAAGAACAGCAATTAAATCTGAAAATTCAAATCCGCAGGGCTTTGCAAGCAGCTGTGGCCAGTGAGCAGCCAGGTCTTTTCTCTGAGTGGCTAAGAAATATCGAAAAGGTGGAGGTCATGGCCGTAAACATCACCCAAGAGCCCAGACACATCATGTGCACGTACCTTGTTACTTCAGCGAAGTCTATAACAGAAGAAGTAACCATCATTATTGAAGATGTTGATCCTCAAATCACTAACCTGAAAATGGAACTTAAGGATGTTTTGTGTGCTATTATATATGAGGAAATAAGCATCCTAACAGCTGAGGGTCCTAGAATTCAGCAAGGAGCCAAAACA